AATTTAATTTGTTGGTTGGAAAGATTAATCAAGATTTTTGACTTGGTAAACAAATTCTTATTACCTTTGGATTGTTTTTGCTTTTCACTGCTAAAGTGCCGCTGTTTTTATAATTTGTCACATGGTGTTACTGCGCTTGAAGTTATTTTCATTGTTCTTCATCATAGTATTGTGTGCGATTTTTAAAGTTAAAAAGCTATTAGAACACAAGGAGATCTCTCCCAATTTACAGTCTCAGATAAAACCTAGTGTTCCTTATTGCAGAATATGCGGAAGAAAATCGTACGTATCAGAAATTATTCAAAGGATGCAAAGGAGATTGAGAATTGCCAACAGTTTTGCCTTAATCTGGTCAACTTCTAACAGCTGCACTTCTATGAAGAAAGTCAACAAAACCAAACACATAGAAGAGCTAAGCTGCAAGTGTAGAATATTTTTTAAGTTCCTTCTCTTAAATAGTAAGATTATGGCCATTCTAGAAGGCCATTACTATGCAAGAGTTTTGTTTTTTAGCTAAGCTCGCAAGGACGCTTGTCGATTTGTAGGCTACAAGTCGCTGTTCGGGGAAAGAGCTACAGCTTCAATGACATAGCGTCCATAGTTCGGCTATAAGTAAATTTTTAAAAATTTCAGTTTTGTTTCATTTCCATCGTGGGACAATTTCTAAAGAGAATGCATAAAAAAATTCTTTTTTGCTAGTTCTAAACGCTTCCATAAAACAATTCGTCTGTTTTGAGCAAGTGACTCAAAAATATTTTCATAGACGGATACTATTCATGCAGATGTAGTGCTTTGTCTGTCAATCACATATTTTCTTAATTTTTTTTTTTGATATAACCTAATGTCCCGTTCGTGTGACAAGGTAATAGTCAGAAACATGCGAAGAAAGAGCAAGTAAGAAAATTAAATTCGGTCGGGACTGAATCTTTTATACCCGTCACCGTCTACTCCAAAAAAGACAAGAAGAAGTAAATGAACAAAATTCTTATGCTCTATAACGTGGACTGGCGGCGGTTGAGGTTTTTATATTTTCAAAATAAATGATTTTATCGTAAAGTCATGTGGGCTTTGCAGGGGCCTATCTATCCTTTGAAAAGTTTAGGTTAATTCCAAAGTCTTTTACAATTTTATAGGCGATATTTTCATTGTCGCTTACGGCAGAATACTTACCACAAACACTACACAGTTGCGCAAATAGACAGATGGACAGGCAAACAGGTGGACATGTTTAGGTGCATTCAAGACTTAAAACTGGCCAAGAATTTGTATACTCTAAGGGGTTTTTCAGCTTTGTTTCTGCGCGTTATAATGGTATTCAAAAAATAGTTCATTTGTGATACACTACAGTATTGGGTAGACCAGGTCAGCCTTTTCCATTTTTATGCACGAATGCGACAGCATCGCCAATAAAGTGAACGTTCAAATGTTTGTACATTTATTTGCTACAGTTTATAAGTAATAAACAAAGAACCAACCTTTCATTCCCTTTGAAAAACAGAGGCGTTCTCAGTTTACGTGGTCATGCCGATGCGTCCTTAGACCAAATTTGCCCATTTTCAATACTAACCTGCGTGCAAGAACTTCCAATGTTTCTGCCAAATTTAAAGACGATAGCTTAATTTTCAGCAAACATTACACGTTCAGATAGACATGTTTAAATCGATTTAGAATTTCAGGCTGATCAGGTATATATACTTGTGGGGATCAGGAATATATACTGACGCTTCCTTCTGAGCGTTGCAAACGCTTTGACAAAATGAATATATCCCTCATCCTTCGGTGATGGGTACAAAGGGAGATATGAGCTGGTGGGCGCAGCATAGTTGATTTACTGGTTGACTACGACCAAAGCAAGCCCTGTGTAGGACGTAAGCATTTTTCTAAGAAGTTTGTATATAAAACCTATAGAAAGAAAATATTTTTTTTTTTACTGCCTATGAATGTGACAGGAATTGTATTAAGCTGATAATGTTTTTAGGACCTAATGATACCTCCGAAAATCTTTCATATATAAATCAGGTCAGTTATAATTTGTCAGTTTCATGTCCAATAATAGGTAGCAAGTAGAAGCATAAGTTGCCGAGTAAACACAATGTAGACAATACTTTTGCACGTTACAAGTGAAAAGATGGCCTCAATAAGCGCTCATTCAGACTATTTTGATAACTAAAGCTATACATATATATATATATATATATGCGGGAATAGATATTGTTTGATAAATTCATTGACATTTAATTTATTGAATGCAGACAACTCGCCCTGTATTATTCTTGCGTTGTTTTTTTTTTCTTTCTTTTTGGTTTGTTGTTGTAATTTAACACACAAATCAAAGTCATTTGCACTTTTTTTTTCAATTTTTTTGTTTTTTTTTTTTTTTTTTTTAATGTTAGAATCTCTAGCAAAATTAAAATAAATGCATATGTTTTGTGATGTTGATATCCATTGGAGATGATTGGTATTTTTGAAAACTCAGCATGAATTGCATTAAAAGCAGACATCGATTTGGATATAAGCATTTATATGCAAAACAAAAATGAAAGAGAATAACAGGAAAAAGACTAAAACGGAACGAAAATGTTAAATAATTGCTATGCATTTGTCACCTGATATTAATTTATGATATCGAATATATATATGTATGTATGTGTGTGTGTGTGTGTGTGTGTGTGTGTGTGTGTGTGTGTGTGTGTGCGTGCCTGCAGAGCGAGTAAATTTGTATGTTTATAATTCTTTAACTATGTAATTTTTCAATTGTATAATTATTTATATCTATTTTTTATATATTCTTCTGTTTTTTCTATTTTCCCCTTTCTCTCTCTTTCTCTTTTCATGTTATCTTGGTGTTTATGGCCTTTAAAAACTACTGATGTTGTCATATAACAACACTACGACTATAAATAACAAAAACGTATATTTAATCAACATCAATACTCATCATTATGGGGATGGCTGGCGTCTATGCATTGGTACTAAAAACTATGTATTTAACGATTTGAAAACCAAAAAAAAAACCAAACTTATGTGCGCTTTCTCACATATTCTGTCTCTTTCACTATGTATCACTGGTTGCGTTGACAATTGTTGTTAATAATCCACAACATATTCCATATGCGTTCATATGGGGGATTTGTATGTGTGTTTATTTGCGGGCGTGTGTATGCGTGTGTTTATGCTATTGCACTATAAAACGCATCATAATTCATCGCAACGTTTATGTGGTATGACCGACACCATGACCATCTATTATCGACGAAACTCTGGTTTGGATCGTTGCTATTATTACTACGGCTGCGGCTGCTGCTGGTGCTGCTGCTGCTACTTTTGCTTTTACTGTTGGTTTGTTTGGACTTTGATAATTTGATAACAAATCGGTTGGACGGTTATATGCTATTATGTGCTCGCCTTTTTTTTTTTGCCATTGTTGTTTTTATTACGGCTGATGATATGATCTGCTGATGGTAACGTTGGTTACAATAACAATGTCGTCATCATTATCGCCACCAACTTATTTTCGTCATCATTATCATCATTATTCGCATTATCACCATCATCGTCGTCGTCGTCGTCCACGTCGTCATCGTCGTCGTCGTCATCGTCGTCATCGTCGTCACCCAATGATGTTGCTTTGGCAACATCATCAACACAAAAATTAACACTGTCGCCATGTGTTAATGTTATCAACTTCGTTATATGTACATCTCTATGAACGGAACATTATAACTGTTGTATATATACAAACACACATATACATTTTTACTCAACTCTCGATATTCCAAATACATACACTCATGTATAATAACTTTCATATATCAACTCTCATGCTTTCATTCTATTCGCTTCATATGCCTGTATGTATGGTTACGTGCGCGTATGTGTGTTTGCATGAAATATACGACAATCACATTAACATCAAATGAAATATGACAAATTATTGGAAACTCCCGAACGGAAACTGAAATTTTTACCATGGGATATGCCTATAACGTTTAATGGTAAATAAATGCAATGCTTGCTCTTTGCCTATGTAATTGCGTCCTCTTGTATGTGTGTGTATGTGTGTGTGTGTGTGTGTGTGTTCTCTTCTATATGGTCTGGTCGTTATAACTGTAACATAAATCGTCGCACTTTATGTCCGTTGCCGGCATTCTTATATTTTATTGCTACCGACAAACCGGTCACCTGGCCATTGCCTGAAACTCGACCGTGCATTTATACTCAACTAAAAAAAAATATATATATATATATATATATATATATATATATTAAATCCTCTCCTTTTATCCGTTAATAATTGAATGTGTACAAAATTCTTATTCGATATCACGCTCGGCATTATTACTTTGGGTTGCTGCATACGTTTACATTTAAACTCATATACACAAAACTTTACATGCTTATATCGCTTATATTAATAACAAAAAAAAAAAAAAAAAAAAAATTGCCCATCATGCTTCTCCTCCCCGTTTCTTGCATTCGACCTTTCCTATCACGCTTCTGCATTTTATTCTCTTCTTCCCCTTTCCCATTCAATAATTGACGTATGTGCACGTATACGTATGCGCGTGTATGCGTTTGCATTTAAAATTTTAAATCTTTTCCTTTATGCCCGCCCCCCTTATAATTCTTATTCATGATCGCATTTATACAACAATAACATCACGCTCATCTATCCGGTCTTGTCCCGTCCCGTCTTGCAAAACGAAAATATTTTAACAAAAATCACTAACAAATCAATACTCATTTCCCTGGTCCCTCGGACCATTTCGTTTATTCTGTCGCTGGCAATTACAAACACTGGTAACCTGTTCAATATTTGATTTTCGTGCCACTTTAAACTCTACTTCTTACATGCACACACACACACTCTTGATATAAACGCGCAACTACATATGTGTGCTGCGCTTTTCACGTATACGCACACATTTATCGATTCATTCGTTATGCAATTTTTTTTTTTCTTTTTTTTCTTTTTTTTTTTATTCATTTTCTACTTTCAGCTGAAACAGCAAATCAACCGGGTAAAACGGCTACAATTGAAATGTATGCACCTAGCTCGTACAATGACACAGTTACCGGTGAGACTCTGTCGAGTGTTTCCGAAAAGAGTGAATCATATTCAAACGATGGCAGCCAAGGGGATTACATAGTAAGTAAAGCTCACTCACTATCATTAATTTTTCATAATAGGGAAATGTCATATATCATATCAGTTATTACATTCACTTATATATAAATGTATAATAAATACATTTATCCCAGCGCATAAATGTATCGCGTATCGCTTTCTCTTTGTGAGCAATCTAAACCTGCACTTACTTAATATTAGGCATTGAAAACTTTGTAGAACGAGAAATGCGCGCCGAACGAGGTTAAAATGAAAAAAATACACCTTAAAATCACATAACCTACATATGTGTATGTCTTTGATAGATTTAGATTAATAGATCTACAGCTAATGCCTATTAATATTAAGTAAAACTTAAATGTAGACAATTGGCAACAATATGCATTTAAAAGTTAAGTAGTGAAAACATTTACAAAGATTTACAAGGGACGCGTGTGAAAAGTGCCTACCTTTTTGGAATTTTTCTACACAAATTACTCGCTTCGAATAAATCGGATGAACATGGCGGGGGTGGCAGTAAATCGAATTTTCTCTCATGCAATTTTGCGACTATCAAGTCAGCATTCGCGGATTCAAATCTCAGTGCGGAAAACTTTACATGGGCCGATCGATCACACATACCCATTACACACAACTCACTATATTATTCTCTTTCTTTTTCTATCCGGCGGTCACGGTGTTGCACGAATAGAGAACATCTCCTGAGTGATTGGTTAACTAAAAAAAAAGAAGAAAAAACAGGCGGCCAGTTTTCTTAATGCTTGACTCAATATGTGACAAACACATTCGTTAGCCAAGTTCAAGCTCTGCTATTTCTTTCCGACAGTCGTCGTGCATCGTTTACGGACTGGAGAAATGTTTTTGTCAGCGAATACAGTTCTTGGTCTTTCCGATTGTTTTGTGGTCATCCAAGCTGGTACGGCCTCGTTTCAATTTTGCTATCCAAAATCTCCCCCTTTGAGTGAAGGTGCAGCGTCCTCGTACCCAGCATGTAACTCTTGCCTAGCTTACTACGGTGTATTGGCTTTCAAGAACAAATATTTGGTAGTAATCTAATACGTATTTTCTTCAATTTTCATTAAACCAATCACATCGATTGCAAAAAAAACAATCCCACGTCGAAAAATGGCTAAAATTCTGGTCGATACTTTTCAAGAAATAGACAAACATATTCCATATTCCTGTTGTGGATAAATGGGGCCAACCTCATGTTCAGGTGGAGAAGTTTTCAGCAAACCCAAGTTTATGCTTCAGAATACTCCGATGATTCTTTTCAAACACGATTTGAAAAAAATTTTCAAGTGTGTGTTTAGCAACATATTATAAACACAATTAAATTGCATAAAGGCATTCCAAGTCCAATCGTCGATCAACACTGACATTCATGACATTCTAAGGCAAAATTTTAATATGTCCTGTACAATTAACAATACGACAAGTGCGTGGTAGAAGTGAAATGCTTTTCCCGAATATTTGCATTTATTTTATATCATCCCAAAAATTGGTAGAACATCTGTTTTCATTTTGCTTGGCAAATCGAAAAGGAGTTAGAGTGGGCGCCGAACTTGTTGTCCAATAAGTAAAGGAAAATAAGGGTTAATAAGGGAAGACTGAGGCAGACATATGTAATACGTTTAAATAGTAACACTTAGTTTTTAATATGTTAGTTTTCACTGACACTCAGTTAGTTTAAGTGACACTCTATACCAGAAGTTGAAGTATTTGCTTTTCAATATTATAGTGTTACGGAAATCCCAAATCTAGTCATTTTCTACAACCAAATTTACATTCGCTAGGCGTCATGCAGCTGCAGATCGATGAAAGCGATTAGTGGAAAAACAGAGAGGTAAAAGCAGAGTGCACATTCGCAGACGCCTCATGCAGCTGCATGCCGATGAAAACGGTTACCAACAAAAGCAGGTTAACGAATTAAATATCAAGTCATAAAATTAGGTGCTAGTAATAGGATGGCAAAAATGTATATAAATATAATATTTGTGAAAGACAAAACAGTAGAAAAAGAGTATTTGAGTTAAGCAGTCGAAAGTATTGCCAAAAATAATTTGTAAATAATCCTACATTAAAAGAAATATAATTGTAAAGAAAAAGAACTTTGAAGTGTATTTCTCTTGATCAAAATATCTACGATCTAGTGATACGGACTGTATCTTGTAAAAAGCGAATTTCATAACAATAGATATATAGATCTTAATTGAAAGTTAGATTGAACATTAACTTTTATCTGTTTGTGAATGACTTGTTTATTTCACTTTTCTAACCACATTATTGACTGCACGATTGTTTTTATCAGCTATGCCAGTTAGTACTTAAAAGTATCTTCCAGCAAAATTGAAATATCACATAAAGTTTAAGCGAATGTCGTGAAGAAGATGTTTTGCGATGTCCCTATCTTTCAGTTTAATCTTTATTAAATACGGCTTGCAAAGCTCTACACTCCAAATATCTTTTCGAATCACTTCAGATTTCTCCTACCTAGAATTCACATAGCTGATGTGTATGCAAGACACTTAAACTGCTCTCATTAAGTACAAGTTTTGAACGATGAGAAAAATAACGGGAGCTCCAATCAATTCTTAACTTTAAAAATCATTTACGACGCCATTCAATTGAAGTACATAATGTAGTCTCTTACATTATAGTGTATGCGCATATAATTATTACACTTCATTAAATGCAAATTGTTGGAGGCAGTGGATATTTCATCAATGAACGGGTTAACATTTTTTGCGTATAAGAACCTCGCGATTTTTTTCATCTGTTAATGCCAACAGTGTTTCGTTCTTCAACCCTCCTTCCACTTGACAACTGGATGGTTTGCTTTTCAAACACTTACATTCCCAATGAGAAATTTCAGAGATAGCTGAAGAGATGAATATCTAAGCTTTACTTTTCAATCTTCAATCTTTGCTTGAGGACATTTGAGTGAAAAAAAAAGTGATATTAAATACATTAATGGGACTTGACTTAGATTTGATTAAAGGCAACGATATCCGATTGAACAAGTCTTCGAAATTCTATATTGTTTCAGTAAGCAAATCCATTGACACCTTGTTATCTTCAATAGCGCACATGCTTTGCAATTTATTAATAGCGTTATCTGCATGCATGAACTTGGAGGCACCCCATAAATGACCATCCATTTCGACCATGGAAATCAATCGCTCCACTTCCGCCATATCAATCTCATCATCCCACGGTTTCTCATTGAGGTAAACGGAAGATCTAGCTATTAAAGCAGGATGCTACACGTTCTTCACGTATGTTTGCATCTTTGGCATTCTCTTCTCCATCCAGAGCCAGAAATATCCACATTGTCAGCAGAAGTGGAAGAACTTATAGTCGTCTTGGCACTAACAACTTGCTGTAAGGGCTCACCACCCGAAACAAACTTTGCGTTGTCATCAAAAAAGGCAATGTGACGATACAAGCGCTGTTCGTGGGCATAATTATAACATAAATAAAACATTGCCCGAAGCATCACTCACTGAAATGTCACCGTTACTTGGTTGATAAACACTGTTATAGCTTCTATCAATAAGAAATTGTTCAATTCTTTGACAGTCCGAAGTGTGTTAACATTACCAAAAGTCATTATTTTAAATTTTTCCCAAGGATGACGCAAATAAAATCCTAATCAGAATCAAACCGCATCTAGCTCCCAGGGAAATAATAGTAGGTTTGAAGTTCATAGTAACCGTGTTAAGATTTATTTAGAATGCGAAAAATTTGGAAGACTAGTAAAATGTCGGCAGATCTTTTTTTAAGTCTTCATAATGTATGCGTGGATCAGGGCAGGGCCTCATTGTATGTCAGGAAGCCCCCGAAGCCACTATTGTATTCGCTGCAGAAGGGCTAAGATAACACTTTTCGAACCAACAATAAGCTTCAACAGTGGTGACCCGTAACTCTTAAAAATTTTGGGAAGCAAGTCTGTCTAGAGATTCTAAAATTAATTCTAAAATTAATGCAGACTTTTTTATTAGAGATGACATCCTCTAACAGTCGGTCCCGGGATTCATTAATCGCGATATTTATGTTTGCAGTAAGGCATTTAAAGTATTACTGCTTGTGGGATAGTAGTGGTATTCAATAAAAATTAAGCATGCTTTAATAGCAATATAAGTGCAAATTAAAGATTCACCGGCTGTTGTTAGAAGGATTAAACATTTATACCATTGGGTGACTGGGTGATGCAATGTTTTCCAAAAAAAAAAAAAAAAAAATGATTGAATCAAAAAAGAAAATTGGAATAAACTGCATTGTGGTGGCGTTTCAACGATGAGTATAGGCTTTAATTTTTTGATTTATGATCCTGGTGTTGATAAGACTCTTTTGCCTGTGTGAGAGCGTAAACTTCGTTACGTAATTTTCCTTTACCTTCTATCTTTTTCTGTTTTGTTGCCATTAATTTAGTAACGGCGCGCACTTGAGAATGAAATTCCGACACCAGGAATGATTCTCCGAAATCAACTTAAAAAAAAAAAAAAAATGTAATTTTGTAAAACTTTTGCTCCTCGCCGAAGCCAAAGCACACATTCGATTAAATTTTATTTCCAAGGTAAACAGAGAGAAAAAAAATATTTCACAACTTTTCCATTTGATGGCATTTCAGTTAAATGCGAGCCAATTAACAAATGCCAGAGAAAGTGAGAAATAGCAGGAATGACAGCACGAAAATCGTTTTTCGGTCCGATGAAAAACAATAGAAATATTCATTTATCATTTAATGCCAAAACAGGAAAACAAAAGAATGCAACAACAACAACAACAGAAACAACAGAAACAACAACAACAACATTAATTTCAAGACTGCTATAAACATACGCAACCATCCATTGACTCATTCATTTGAATGGATAACAAGGAAACCAAAAAAGGTGTCCGGATGATTAACTTACCTTAGCACAGAAATTGTGAGAATGAAAAGGCGTTCATTTTCGCATAAAAGTCGGTGTAGCAACCATTACTTTTATCATCATCAACATCATTATTATTATTATTATCGTCATCGTAAACATTATTAAATAGTGTAGTCAAGTGTGGAAACTAATTGCAGCCATTCATCCAAAAAACATTAAAAAAAAAAAAAAAAAAAAAGAAACAACAAACTCAAAACAACTTAATAAGTCCATGATGACAATGACGAATAAGACAACGATAAAGATGAGGTATAGATCATATGAGTTAAAGGTTCGTTTACATTGTTACTTACTTTTTTCGACACTAATGTTCAATGTGTGTCATTTTTAGAGCTTGAAAAATGCATAAGTAGACGCAAAGCTTAAACGAACGCAAGAACAAGAAATGCAAGAAGAAAATGTATGATGTCTGGCTATTCTTAAGCTCCAAGTTTTTCGGCCCATCTTGATATTAACAAACTAATATTAGTCGTAGGAAGGGTTTGTTATCACATTAAGCTTAGGTATTATGATAACTTTCACGTGACATTCTCTGCGCCTATGCAAGTACAGCTTTTTCAATGCAGCAGGAGTAATTGAAAAGCTCATAAAGCTGATAACCGAAAAGCAAAAGTAATAATTGAAACAGATTTTTTCGTTTTCAGTATGCTTTTGATGGAACCTCGCACATGTATTCTTTCGATTTGCTTTTTCCATCTGGACAGATATTTTTTGCAAAACCTTTAAAATTAATTTTTTTTTCTCAATTCGTTCTTCCTTAAGCTTGTTAGATTTTTTCAATGCTTTTATAATTTCTCTAATTCCTCCCTTCTCATTTGATGCATTTGTAATGCTGCAATTGATGAAGAGATCACTTGGTTTAAAGTTTAGAAAGAGATGATGTAAGAAATGAATGAATAAAAGTCGAATTAAAAAATCGCTTTTGCTTTTTTATCTAACATGATTAATCACTCAGGCGATGCCTTCTATAAGTGTAATGTGGTGATAGACCCGAAGGAAAGAAAGGAAAAATAGAAAGAGACAGGGTTTGACCGCAGCCTAGTCTGTGTAGGCCCAATAGGTAAACGTTATTCTTTTAGTGACTTGCAGCTTCACTACAAACTTTGCAAACTTTGATCTCTTTTTTTATATATATATTATTTTATATACATATATATATATAATCACTGCTCAATTGATATGTTTGCTCAAATCTCTTAATATTCTATTAACACAATCCGCTTGCTTTGAGATATTTATACATATGTATATATATATATGACTAAAGAAAATTGAAATTGTCTTATTTTATATACATTTTTTATTATTCTCCAACTACCACTTCGCGAGATTTTCAATTATCTATGTTTTATGGAAACACTAAAGAACACTTTATATAATGTACACTTCTCTCCTATAGACATAAAGGACATAAACTACTTATCATGTTGTTATATAGAGATACATATGTACGCATTTTCCGACATTTTGAAATAGTTGAATGAATTTTTATCAAAGAAAGAAACCGGAAAGCAAATGAAATGATTTATACGTGCATGTGTCTACATAGTAAAATTTATATAGAATTTGTTCAATACGCATAGTACAATGCGTTTCCTTCCAATATCGCCGAGTATGAGATAAGAAAATTCGTAAAAAAATTGTTAAAGCTTTTTAGCTTTAATAAAAGTAGTTTTTCAAATTTAAACTATAATCTCCACAATATAAAGACAAAAGGTTTTCACGTCGTATGGCTAGCAATTGGTTCTCTTTAACTTATTACAAGAACATCCGCAAAGGTTTTTAAGAGAAAACTCCATTTGTCCAGAAGCTTTCATCAATTTCTTTCTTAGTGACAGTCATTAAGTATCACTTACGGTTAATGAAAAGCTACGGTGACCTAATTGAAGATTAAATATGTCATCAACATACAGTTCGCTTCTTCATCCACAAAAATGGAATGGGAGAAGATACGAAAAGAGATAACTTGGACGTGTATGTGTTTATATGTTCCTTACATGCTTGCCTGCGTAGGATTTAATTTAAAGTGAAGATAAATATCTTGTACTTTTGCTTGATCTTCATAGGGCATGTACCGCTTTGACCACTTTTCCGAACACTTCTCGTATGACGACTTATTTGTAAAAGTGGCTAAGAAATAAATTGGACCTTGGACCAAGTGCGGAAATTTTTTGAACCCGCTCTTATATAAATGTTCCTGCCAAAACTGAATCTTTATATAGTAAAAAGATATAATTTTTAATATTTCATGGCCTTATGCAATTTATACTTCGTCGATTTTTGTATACCATCGCATCAAAGGATTCCTACAATATGCGGACTTTTTCATGAAAAATATGCGTTTGCATGAAAATAATGTCTAACTTTGGTGTATTATTACTAAAACGAATGAAAATTATGTTAGGCGAAGTGATGTAGGGTATCTAATAATCAGTCTGACTCGATCTTAATTTGTTTTTTTTATAAGCTTAAAATTTCCTTAGCCATATGCATTGTAAAAAAACCTGGCCTGAAGATACTTCAACCTTGAATGATGTTATTAGCCAGCCCTGTGGCGGGAATAGATCCTTACGGTGATAAGCGAGCGAAGTTTCGAAAAGTTCTTCCATATCGGAGAAAGTTTTTTGGTTCCATATTAGATTTTAATGCAATAGGTCTTCGATCAAGGTAATTCCCGGTGCATTAGTCGGTAGTCAGAATAATGTATGAGTAAATTCATGCGATGATCTCAAGACGAGTTAATTTTACTCATATCAACGAACTGGAAAAAAGTTTTGCACTTTTCTTACATATTCGCGAAATTTGATAAAAAAAATTTATTTTGATCAAATTTTATTACGTCCACATTCTTTTTTGGCTCAATGACAAAGGCTGGATGGAAAATGATTCGGATTAGACCACTTTTTCGACTACTTACCTTATTTTGAAACATTATTACACGAGTAAATGTAGGGTGGTGTAAAGTACTTCAAGGCCTGTAATGGCCCATCATAATCTTTGTATTTGTTCTCACATAAAATAGTGAAACTTTCTTTCCAATGTGCTTACGACGAGGTCCAAGCTAAATCGTTGGGAAACGATATGAGTAAAATTTTGCAGGAATTTTCGACAATTATTGTGATAAGTAATTTCATACAAAGGACGACATGATGCGCCCAAATCATAATTGTTTTGGACCAAGAAAAAAAATATTTCATATTGCATTGCAAAAAAACGTTGTTTTGCAACTTTTCGATCTACATTGCGAACGAAGAAACTATCAAAATGTATGCCGAATAATATGTATACAATTTTATGTGACCTCTAAAGAGGGCGTTCTATGCAATGTAAATAATGAAATTAATATATTGTCAAAGTGCATTCATCCATGTCTTTAATATAATTTTTTTTAGCTCAGCTGGTAAGAGGGATAGCAAATTACAAAATTCATTATTATTTCCATGTAAATTCTAATTAAAAAAAAAAAATATATATATATATATATACATATAAATATATGTATATATTGACTTTGACGCAAACACACAAACTGTAGTCTTTTGTGTTACTGCAGTCATTCTTATCTCAAATTCCGATTTCTTTTCATAGTGTTGTGCAATGTGCTCGAGTCAAGCTCAACATTGTGAAAATAGGAAAACTAAACCACATTATTAATATTTCTATAATTTATGTTTGTCGCAATTGTAATGATTGTTGATAAATTAAAATGGACCAAAGAAAGAATTTGGCCTTGCAGCAGCAGTAACGGAAAAAGAATATGATGACAAAAACAATGTTAAAAAAATAAAAAAAATAAAAATATATATATATATAAAAAATAAATATAAAATAAAGTTCTTTTAAAAGTTTTCGACAAGTAAATTAAAAAAGAGAGAAATGTACAAAAGTTGCTACAAATGAGAATCGCATCACTGACAAAATTATGTTATTGTTGTTGATGTGGTTCAAGCTGTTCTCAATGAACGACAAGAAAAGCAAAAAAAAAAAAAAATGGAAACTTCCGAATATATAAATAAAATAGGAATTCAAGCACACACACAGAGAGAGAGAGAGAGAGAGTGAGATGGAATAAAAATGAAAATAAAAAAAAAAACTTCAAATATTACAATAAAAAGTAAATAAATAAATAAAAATTTTTACAAACAAAGGCCCTTTTTCTACCCGGAAACAAGAAACCAAAACTGCTCTAACAAGATAAACAAAAAAAAGAAAAGCAGAGTCAACAAACGAAACTTGAACACAATACTCCAAAGGAGGACAAAAACAAAAAAAAAAAAAAAAAATAAGAAGAAAGCGTTTTTATGTTTGGGCATTTTGCTGGCATTACCGCAAAACAACATCAGTTGTTCATAATTAATCATCATTTCGAGTTAACAAAAGAAGAAAATCATTAGAATTCATCATCAATTCGTGTATCCCCGAAAACAAAAACAAAATCCTTATCCATTAAAATAACAAAAATAAGAAAAGTTAGTGCATTGGCTTCGTTTTTTTTTTTTTTTTTTTTTTTGTTATAAGTAATGACTGCCATCTATCTATCTATGTATCTATGCATTTTTGATATCCATCTAATAGTAACATCTTAGAGCTCAAACTCAGTCAGCTGCCAACTTGTTTATTATTATAGTTTATAATTTTCTTTACAAGTATTTTTAAATAATAATTTGTTGACATTTATTTATTTGCAGGATGAAGCTCGTAAAAAAGCTGCCTCCACATATCTGGTGGAAAATTCTGATTTACCGCCACCACCACGTTACCAGCAAGATGGCACACTGCCAGCACTTTATCCCAATAATATGGGTAAGCTTATGTTTAATCTGAAAACAGTAATGTATTATCATCTTTACACCTTATGTGATAGTTACTGTAAATATTTCAACCACGTTCTCCTCTCCTGCTACTATATATGGCAATTTTCATATTAAAATTGCTCCTATAGCGCTAGTCTAATGAGATAAATTTATTAAAGGTCATCTTTCAATAAACGATAATACAAGTTAAAGAATTATATACGGTGGACTCTGGACACCCCTTAGTTCAATACAATATTTCATCAATTTTTCTCATAGAATATGTTAGATTATTTTTGGTGCCATATAAAAGTTTAGTTCGTATGGGATCTGGGGAGGGTAGCTTTTTGTAGCCTAAGTTTACCGTACTAAGTTTTTTTTTCTGAAACGCCATAAAAGACGAATAACTGGTTCGGTCTTGAAATATAAACACCTACTTTGTGTAAGAACGTTTATATGGAAGGGCTCACCAACATGGTCTCGGCCCATCCTATTTTCCCGTATTAGTTCAATTTGCCTTACTCCGAATATTTGTCATCAATTTTCGTTCGTTGGATTTAAGATTTGGCAAAGTAGAAAATGCTTTTCATACAACGAACTCTTCAAAATAATGTGAGGGCTGGTCGTAGAACTAAACCGGGTCTCGAAATGTATAGGTAGGACTCGGATGGACAGATAGTGCTTAAAGCTATCCTACATAAGAAACGGTGGATCTGTCTTAAATCCTCCTGGGTGCTGAATATGTGTCTGCCAAAATATATTGGGCCCTTACGGTAGTGGGGCAGAGAAAGATTTACCGGTACAAAAAACATGAGAGAATTCCATCATATTATAAATAAATTTGATATTCTTAACAAAGCAAATTCCATCTGTTGCTTGCCACTACCGAATTCCAAGCAATTCCCTACGGATATTCAAGTTTAGAAATGTTGGAGAACCTCTCCGAACCTTAGAAAAGAAGCTAAGCTTTCGATGCGTATTTTTATTTTTTTTTTTCATCGAGAACTGCTATCAATCAAAGATACGGTTCTCTGGACTTTGCGCTGAGATGCGACCAATATTTTTTAAGCTTTTCAATTTCAAGTCATTTTTGTTGATTATTCGTCTCGTTGCGTTCAGCACTTAGGTTAAACACCTTGGGCGAACTCTAAAATATCTCTTTCTATGTATCTGTTCGAATCATTTTTAAAAAGGTCGTTGTGGTATGTCATCTTACCCATTACATCTTTAAATGTGTGCACTTATAAGAGAGTAATTAAGGTCTTATAGTTGACGAATGGTGGTCGAAATAACTTAAATCATTTGTTATTTGTTCTGATTAATGAATCACATAAAATAATTGGCAAAAAACAAAAAGTATGCAGACAATTAATAGTAAAGTAATCTGCTGCAATGTAAATGTGTATGAGTGTGTGTTAGAGTTATCGAAAATCGCAAAAGATCATCGCGAAATGTCTTTAAAAATTTGACCTTAAAGCTTGAAGCAAAAATGTTGAAACCAGTTGGCGTTCGTATGGCAAAATGTTCGCAATGAGTTCGGTGTAGGTTAGGAAATGTTTAAATTTGCGTTGCTAGAAGGAAACGTTTTGATTGTCGTACAACAGAAGGCGTTCGTAAATATTTTTTCATCTCGTTTCATTTCTTTTCTGACTACAATCTATATTTTGTCAAATTAGGCGATTGCACTGTTAACATTAAAGGTTTAGATTAAGGTCGTATTAGTTTAGAGCCAAGTTCAAAGTAAATAGCTTCAGTTTCAAAGTAAACGATTTTTTACAAAGCGGATCTAAGTCGAAAGCTTAAACTAAGTATAACATTAGAGCAATGAACATCAATTAGAATCAATTGGCAAAGTCAAAGCAGTCACTATTGAAAGGGAACATTTTTTTTTTGTAATATTACCAATCAGCCAGGGGATGTCACCTAATTGTGTAACATGGCGGGTACTACAAACAGGAGAGGAAAAAGAAAGAAAAAGGGGAAAGATGGCCGCATCCTAGTGGGTGTGTGCCCAATCGATATATATTATGCTTGAGAACTCACTATAGCTACGACCAAAGAAAACTTTGCCGAACTTGGGATTTGAACCCGCGAACTCTGATTTGGTAGCCGTGGTTCCTACCTGCGCGGCTACATAGGCGGATACTGAAAACGAATACCAAAGTTCAACAAAGACATACGGCCACTTACAAAGTATCGCCGTACCCGCGACTACCGACTTGCGTTGGGGCGTCAGTGATGGTTCGTTCGTGGAAGGTTGCAGCAACCATTCTATAGAAATTTTATATCTGATACGGGAGATAAGGAAAAAAATTTATTTTCTTTGACGCTATATTTTCATCCGCATAGATGTCGAAGTGAATTCTGAGTTAATTAAAGGTTCTCCAATTTTTCGATTAAGTTGGTCCGGCCTTGAAAAAACAAATAAATGGGAAAAAAGTCAACACAGCCAAATCAATTTAAAGTTTCAGGCTTTAGTTAATGTACACACACACACATCACATAGCTTCACATTTTTTTTTTTTTTCTTTTCGAAACATTTATTTTCGTTCATTCGATTACTTTTAGCAAGAAATGAAAATTCATTAAAGTTAGCTAGCAGTCGTGACAAATGATGTAAATTAAATCGATAAGAGAAAGAATTTATTTATATAATAAAGTTACAAGCAATTAAACGAAACCATACGAAAGCAACTTTCATTTGCCTCACTTTAAAAAAGTTCGACTATAAGAATATAATGACAAAAAAAGGAGCAGTGAAGCCCACTGATTTCCTTTAGTATAAAATTAAAACTACAATTGTTGCTCGCAAAAAAATATCAGCAATTTAACTTAATTAACTTTCTTGTTTTTTTTTTTTTCATTTTCTATTTTTTTTTTTTTATTTAATATTGCGTTGAAATTTTATTTTGCCCTTATTTTATTTTCCATTCAATTGATTACAGTTGCTTTGCATATTAATTTCGTTTAAAAGCTTCATGAAATTTTCTTGTTCGCCACTTAGAAAATGGAATATTTGCTTGCTCTTCATTTTTCCCCATCTCTTTAGTTTCAAATGGTATGTTAGTTAACTATTTTCGGTACTTTAACAAGGGTGCGACGATAAATTCGATTTTAACTAGCAAAGACACCTACCATTTCTAATAAGAAAACTCTGCTAACGACTTAACACAACTCTTACAATTAAGATATAGCTCGACTTGAAAGCCTACTCCTTCCATATTAAAGAAGAGGAACTAAATAACTAAGGTAGTAAATTTTAATACACTACAGTGTACTACAGTACTCAGCATTTTGTACTGAACGTTAATATACTACAGTGTATAGTATTTTATACCAAATTTTAATATACTGCACTATAGAGAATGTTGTACTAAATTTTACTACACTACAGTGTATATTGTACTATAGTAGTACATAGTAGTACTGTATATGTACTACTCGTACTACACAATACTGTACTATACTAGAAAAAGAAAAATATTGTATTCGTATTAATATGCTATTTAAATAACGGAACAATGTTAAATAAGAATTTAAGAAAAATATACACATGAAGTAATCCATCACCACTTAGCCCTTCGGTCAGTACCATGCTCTGAATCAGAAGAGTTGTATCTGACAGCGTGAATATATTTGAGGCGTTCATTAATTTAACACTAGATTTGTAAGATGCATAAGCACGCTGTAGAGATCCTATAGATATGAGAACATATGAGAGCATGAGATATTGAGCCCACTTATGTTTTTTCCAGGCCTCTTTTACAATCAGAATTGCTAAACACACTTACAACAACTAAAAACGAAAAAACCTCCAAAAACGTTGAATATTTTGCAAATTTTCATTTTATATGTAGCATCAAAAAACATCCAAAGTGCTCGCCTTTAGCAAAAGTGATCGACATTCTAAGTTTAATCCGTACTTATTTCAGCCTAAAGCAACACACAACTGCGAACTCGGGTGACCGCCGTTCCTAATCGCGAATAAATCGATATTCCAATGGAATTGTGCAACAAATGTTGATTTTACCGGCGAATAACATTTCCTTTTTATTTTATGTATTTTTATATTATTTGTGTAGCAGCAGCGAGTAGCATGTATATCGAAAAAACCATTTAAAAGAAAAAACCATTAAAAAAAAAACAGATTAATTGGATTTGCATTAATTTCAATGCGTCAAATGGTGTCAAAGAACAAATTAATTTCATGATACGAGATATCATTGGGTTTATAGCTTAAATCACCTACGATAACGGTCTATTAAGTTTGTTCGATTGTAAGTGACGAACAGAAACAGAATCAGAATCATTTTCCAAATTGATTTAAGCCTGTCTACCTATCTATCCCATTGCATTACTGATGTCCGTCCATGTTTGTGTTCTTAGCTTATATATAAACAATTTCCTGACACTTTTAGGACAAAGTCTATGGGAAATAGAACCATCATCTTCTACTTAACGCCTTGTTTTGAAAACGCCCCCTGCATGGAAGACAATTTTTTAAAATTTCTTAACAGAAATTGGTGTACGATAGTGTTTTACTGTACTAAATGAATTCCACTATTGTTTGAAATGCTTCCCAAACCTTTTAACTTCAAATAAGCCTTTGTAACGCAGCTGAATTTAATTTTTTACTTTATTTTTTACTCAATAAAAATTGCAATTTGAATCACCGATTAGAGGTCTACATGAGATGATTTGCTCAGACGTATGGTATGTTACGAAGAAAGTTTTCCACCAAGAATTCTACCAAAGATAGAAGTATTAGATATTTAATGGTCGTTCTTGCCCGTATGTAGAGTTTCGACTTTTTCTTTATAAAATGAAAAATGCCAATCCATGCTGTTTGCTATTTGCAGATTAACTAACAAGGTTCCGTCTGAACCTCAATAACCTGGCAAATGGCAAAATGAAGCATAGAAAGTTTTAATGAACGGCTCAGTTTGAACTGAGTGTAAAATAAATAGGGTAAAGGAAACAGTTTACACACCTTTCAGCAGCACCAGTGAA